CAAAAAATGTTGACCTCTTAACTCGGCTGGAAACAGTGAAATCAATTTGTATACACCTTTCTGTATTACCAAACAATTACTCCTTAAGGAGAAGTGACAGAATAACATTTTTTTTGAAGTTTAGACAAAAACAAGGTTTCAGAAATAACATTACAACATTAGACGAATAGAATTAGCTGATTCTGATTCTTTGGTTGAATTTCCAGGCTGAAGAGTCAAATCTGAAGGCTCATCCTGAGGAAATACAACTTTATCAGGAGTATAATCATTCCTCTTCAGATCTACATCAAAAGAAAATAATATTACTTAGAAGCAGTGAATTGAAAAACATATCTAAGTCAATTTCCCCTAAGCATGCTAGATCTATTTTCCATTAACAAGGTTAAGTATAAATTCAAAAGTCATAAAATTTATATACATGTAAGGAAAATGAATTCAATAGCAAATTATACAATGATCCTGAGGCAGTGTTTTGTAAGAGGGATCTGAACAAGGCATTCATAGGCATCCTTGCTTCAGAAAATTTCAATTCCAATGAGTGATGATAAATAAGCGGACAGCGCGCATCATGCCGGCAGACGAGAGATGTACAGGGTGACTCAGGGTTGGGCAGAAAAGTAGGAGGGGTAATATCTGAGTGGAGATATGAATACAGAACACTGATCTATTAAATCTCCAGAATGAACATTCCAGACAGAGGGAAAGGTAATTGGGAAGACATATGAAGGAAATGGAAGTGATGGTGTTCAAAGACTTGCATGAAGGTGGAGTGTGGTCTGCATGTGCTGAAGGGTAAAGTGTAGAAAAACAAAGTCAGAGCAGCATTTAAGGGCCAACGGTTGACAAACTATGGCCTACGGACCAAACATGGACTGCTGTTCATTTCTTGAAATAGGTGTTTTTTTTTTAAATTTTATTAATTTTAATGAGCATTTAAAGAGATTTTGGATTTCTATTCATTCATTGTTGCATTTTTCTCCCTGTCTCCCCTCCCCCCCAGTTCACTCTTCTCTTTGAAAAGTAAAATTCCTTCATTGGTACACAACCCCACCCCCACCCCTCCACCCCCAGTGCACTCCACTATGCAGCCTTCTTTCTGGACTCTTGTCATAACCATAATACCAAATCCTATATTGCTTCTAAACTATTTTCTCCCTCATCTGTTTCAATGCAGTATATTTAATTTATCCAATTTTTCTCAGTCTTACCCCAACCCTGATGCCAGTTCCATTCTACAACAGTGGCATTATGCAGTATTTGTCTTTTTGTTACCGAGATATTTCACTCAGCATAATGTCCTCCAAGGTCACCCATTTTGAATAATATTGCATGAGTTCCTTGTTTTTCAATGCAACATAGTATTCCATTGTGCGAATATACCACAGCTTCTCTATTCATTCGTTTTTTGATGGGCTCTTAGGTTGTTTCCTACTCTTTGCTATAGTGAACAAAGCCACAATAAACATGGGTGTGCATTTATCTGTCTGGGTGGCGTTATGGTTTCTTTAGGGTATATTCCTAGTAGAGGAACTGCTGGGTCAAATGGTATTTCTATTTGCAACTTTTTGAGAAAGCGCCATACAGCCTTCCATAGTGATTGCACCATTTTACACTTCCACCAACAGTGAATAAGGGTTCCAGGTTCTCTGCAACCTCGCCAGCATTTGTTGTTTGCTGTTCTGTTAAATTTTGCTATTCTTATTGGAGTGAGATGGTATCTCATATTTTGTCTTGAAATAGTTTTATTGAAACACTGGTACACTCAATTCATTTATAGATTATCTCTGGTGTTAAACAGCAAAGTTGAGGAGCTGTGATACAGATCATATGGTACACACAAATCTGTGTTAACTACTCTTTTATAGAAATGGTTTACAATCCCTGATTTTTTGTTGTTGTTAAGTGCTGTCAAGTATGACTCATAGAAACCATCTGAAGAACAGACCTGAATCGTGTCCTATCCCGTGCCATCCTCAAAGTCTCTGATAAACTTGTACCTACTGTAGTCATTATGTCACCTTACTTCTCTCCTTTGCTATCCCTCTACCTTTCCAAGCATGATTTCCCTCTCCAAGGAATAACTGCTCCTAGCAACATGCCCAAAGCATGTGAGATGAAACTTCATAATCTTTGTTTCCAAGAAGTACTCCGGTTGCACCCTTTCTAAAAGACCTAAGACCTATCTGTTTGTCCTTTTGGCAGTCTTTTGTTCAGTACTCTTCCTCAACATTCCAATTCAAAGGCATCAATTTTTCTTCTGTCATCCTTAGTTAACTGTTCAGTTTTCAGATCCATACCAAATGACTGAAAAGACCATGGCCTGAAGCACGTTCACCTTAGTCCTTAAACTGACATCACTGTTCTTCAGTTATTTGGAGAATTCCCTGACTACAGACTTTCCCAGCCTAGTAAGTCTCGTGATCTCCTGCCTACTAATACAAAGCACACTGACTGTGGATCCAAGTAAGATGAAGTAGCTGACAGTTTCAGTCTTTTCTCCATCTATCATGATGCCTATCGGTAGGTGAGTAGGTGAGTATTTTTGTTTTCTTTTTAAAAAAATTTCATTTTATTATTTTTTGTGCATGTACCATCAAATCAGATCTGACTGGAACAGGAGGAAATTGTCCCTCCTTCTCCGGCAGAGCATCTGGTGGATTCGAACCGGATTTTTGTTTTCTTGATGTTGAGATGCAATCCATATTGAAGCCTGCAGTGTTGAAGCTTCTACAGAATGGCTTCATCAAATCTCTGATTTAGGGGATTTAAATTAAAGTCTTTGGGTGGGACAAATATCTAGCTTTAAACCAAAAGTTTGAAGGTTCAAGTCCACTTAGCAGCACTTTGGAAGAAGTCTGGTGATCTACTTTCAAGAATCAACTTCTGAAACTACAGTTCTATTCTGATAAACAGGAGGTCACCAGGAATCAGAACTAAGCAGTTCAAGAAACAAGACGGCAGGAATGAAGACAAAAAGAGATTCATTTGAGAGGAAGGTCAGAGTTTGAGCCAAAGGATTTGATATATGAAGTAAAAGAAGAGTCGAGGACAGTCCTCAGATTCAAGAGTTCTAAAAGGGGCATGCTAGTCTCAAGATGTGCTGGCGTGTTCAAGAAGAAATGTAACATATAGTGAAATAATAGTTCAGGAAAGATGCTTTCAGTTAAAATTCAGGACTATCACTATGTAGGCTGCATTTAGAGCTATGAGACAGAAGAATTCACTCAAAAGCCATGGATAAAAGGCAATAGTTGCAAAATTGGTGAATGCACCATTCAGCTGGAACAGACCCAGAGCTCACCCTCAAGTGGGTTTTCAGAGGCTGAAAATCGCCCAAGAGGAGCCAGACCAACACACTTTTGGGTGGTCAGCGCAATCCTTACTACTAAACTATCAGAGCGCAATGTAATAGAGGAACAGCAAATTTATAGTTTAAATTAACCATCGTCATTCATATAGCCTTTTATTTTAATCTCTAAATAAATGTTCACGGTATGAGTTAATTTTGCGAGGGTATGCAATGTTTTTAATATTTTTAAATGCAAAAGTATATACGTATGACCTTGTTGTTGTTGTTGTGTGCCGTCGAGTCGCTTGCGACTCATAGCGACCCTATGTACAACAGCCCTAAACTCCGCTCTGTCCTGTGCCAATC